GTCGGTCAAACTTCCGCGTTCAAGTTATCAATGCGGAACATTGTTCCATTCTGGGAGACATGCAGAGGCAATGTCTCCCAGAATGAGACACTGCGACCGACAGGAGTGCACAATACACTCTTGTCGGTCAAACTTCCGCGTTCAAGTTATCAATGCGGAACATTGTTCCATTCTGGGAGACATGCAGAGGCAATGTCTCCCAGAATGAGACACTGCGACCGACAGGAGTGCACAATACACTCTTGTCGGTCAAACTTCCGCGTTCAAGTTATCAATGCGGAACATTGTTCCATTCTGGGAGACATGCAGAGGCAATGTCTCCCAGAATGAGACACTGCGACCGACAGGAGTGCACAATACACTCTTGTCGGTCAAACTTCCGCGTTCAAGTTATCAATGCGGAACATTGTTCCATTCTGGGAGACATGCAGAGGCAATGTCTCCCAGAATGAGACACTGCGACCGACAGGAGTGCACAATACACTCTTGTCGGTCAAACTTCCGCGTTCAAGTTATCAATGCGGAACATTGTTCCATTCTGGGAGACATGCAGAGGCAATGTCTCCCAGAATGAGACACTGCGACCGACAGGAGTGCACAATACACTCTTGTCGGTCAAACTTCCGCGTTCAAGTTATCAATGCGGAACATTGTTCCATTCTGGGAGACATGCAGAGGCAATGTCTCCCAGAATGAGACACTGCGACCGACAGGAGTGCACAATACACTCTTGTCGGTCAAACTTCCGCGTTCAAGTTATCAATGCGGAACATTGTTCCATTCTGGGAGACATGCAGAGGCAATGTCTCCCAGAATGAGACACTGCGACCGACAGGAGTGCACAATACACTCTTGTCGGTCAAACTTCCGCGTTCAAGTTATCAATGCGGAACATTGTTCCATTCTGGGAGACATGCAGAGGCAATGTCTCCCAGAATGAGACACTGCGACCGACAGGAGTGCACAATACACTCTTGTCGGTCAAACTTCCGCGTTCAAGTTATCAATGCGGAACATTGTTCCATTCTGGGAGACATGCAGAGGCAATGTCTCCCAGAATGAGACACTGCGACCGACAGGAGTGCACAATACACTCTTGTCGGTCAAACTTCCGCGTTCAAGTTATCAATGCGGAACATTGTTCCATTCTGGGAGACATGCAGAGGCAATGTCTCCCAGAATGAGACACTGCGACCGACAGGAGTGCACAATACACTCTTGTCGGTCAAACTTCCGCGTTCAAGTTATCAATGCGGAACATTGTTCCATTCTGGGAGACATGCAGAGGCAATGTCTCCCAGAATGAGACACTGCGACCGACAGGAGTGCACAATACACTCTTGTCGGTCAAACTTCCGCGTTCAAGTTATCAATGCGGAACATTGTTCCATTCTGGGAGACATGCAGAGGCAATGTCTCCCAGAATGAGACACTGCGACCGACAAGTGCACAATACACTCTTGTCGGTCAAACTTCCGCGTTCAAGTTATCAATGCGGAACATTGTTCCATTCTGGGAGACATGCAGAGGCAATGTCTCCCAGAATGAGACACTGCGACCGACAGGAGTGCACAATACACTCTTGTCGGTCAAACTTCCGCGTTCAAGTTATCAATGCGGAACATTGTTCCATTCTGGGAGACATGCAGAGGCAATGTCTCCCAGAATGAGACACTGCGACCGACAGGAGTGCACAATACACTCTTGTCGGTCAAACTTCCGCGTTCAAGTTATCAATGCGGAACATTGTTCCATTCTGGGAGACATGCAGAGGCAATGTCTCCCAGAATGAGACACTGCGACCGACAGGAGTGCACAATACACTCTTGTCGGTCAAACTTCCGCGTTCAAGTTATCAATGCGGAACATTGTTCCATTCTGGGAGACATGCAGAGGCAATGTCTCCCAGAATGAGACACTGCGACCGACAGAGTGCACAATACACTCTTGTCGGTCAAACTTCCGCGTTCAAGTTATCAATGCGGAACATTGTTCCATTCTGGGAGACATGCAGAGGCAATGTCTCCCAGAATGAGACACTGCGACCGACAGGAGTGCACAATACACTCTTGTCGGTCAAACTTCCGCGTTCAAGTTATCAATGCGGAACATTGTTCCATTCTGGGAGACATGCAGAGGCAATGTCTCCCAGAATGAGACACTGCGACCGACAGGAGTGCACAATACACTCTTGTCGGTCAAACTTCCGCGTTCAAGTTATCAATGCGGAACATTGTTCCATTCTGGGAGACATGCAGAGGCAATGTCTCCCAGAATGAGACACTGCGACCGACAGGAGTGCACAATACACTCTTGTCGGTCAAAGTTTGCAATCACATCTGATTGCAGAAGATTGTCTCATTCTGGGAGACATGCAGAGGCAATGTCTCCCGAAATGATATCGTCATACCAACACCAATTTATTCCTTCTTTCCATTGTCATACAATTCAATATTTTTATCAATCTTAATCAACTTTTTTTATTCTTCTTTAATTCAATTTATCTTTCTCCTAGAATATCTATTCCTTTAACAGACATAAAATCACTAATCGAGCTTTTTCAATACTCAAAATTTCATATAAATCTTTGTTATTTTTTCTCTCATCGCTTATTTTATTAAATATACATATTTCCTCTCACATATCCCTCTTCATATATATTGGATCTCAACACTCATCTATTAGAACAATATATTTTCGCTTAAGGGTGCACACGAGAGGATCATGTAAACTTCATAATTTAGAACCTTATTTTTAGGCATTATCTTGGCTACCTATTTAGGCTCGAAAAGCAAAACATATCAAAAAATACAACTTGACTCCATTATGACCCTTTCATGGAGATAGTTTTTATCCGCTAGTATTTTCCCTTTGAATCTCTTTACAATTCGAAATCAAATTCAAACCTCAGTAGAAGAAAGGAAGAATCGACTTACTACGGTTGTAATACGAATAAATACATATATTTAATTATTTTTATTTACATAATAATTGTTTGAAGCTCATATTCCAACAAATTTTTAAATAAAAACATTAAAATGTTGAAAATGTTCATATATTTTAATAGGGTTTTGGCACTTTATTGAGGAATTACTACATACATAGTCGAACTGAACTTGATATTTTGAAATTTAAATTATTTATCAAAATTAAAATTTAACTTGAAATTTATAATTATTTAGTCATATTTTGCATAATTCTAAGTAGATTTTGTAAAAAATCAAGAAAGAAAAATTTTAACGTGCTTTATTTTTTCTTTTTTATAATAATACATATTATTATATAATTAACATATTCATAATGTTTCACCCTTTCAAAGATATAATCCTCCTCCTCTCAAATAAACGTACATACGGGTGGCCTCTTTTTTCAAAAATTAAAATTTGAAATTTTGGGCTCAAATATTAGAGATTTTTTCAACCTTCAACGATATATGTTGTCTATATCAGACCTTCTTTCTTTTTGATACTTAACATTGTTCCTAAATCTTAGCCGTTAAGGCTGTTCTGAAAATATTTTTTTTTCGAAAAAAATCGAAAAAAATTCTTAAAATTCAAAAATCCCTTAATTCCTGAGGATTTTGGAAAAAAGTTTTTACATGAACATGTGTATATTATATGAAGTATATTGATAAGGTAAAAATCAAATTTTATTGCATATTCATCGAGAAAATAAACTAACGAATCCCTCAAAATTGAGAGGGTAATCCTCCTCCTCTCAAATAAACGTACATACGGGTGCACCCTTAATCTCATATTATTCATTAACAATCTTTCATCTTCTTATTTCTAGTTAACCTACCAATATATATATAGAATATATGCCCAATTACATATTCAGATACATTAAATTCAAGAAATTCTTCTAATATTATTCTCCTATTCATAATAAAATCATATTTAGTCTCACATCACAATTCTATCAGTTCTCCAATATCATATCATATTGGTAACATCACATATATCTCTTATAATATCACTTAAATTTGTATTTTTTTATTAATTATATTTAATTAGTTCTACATTCTATTATTATAGAGGTTTGACAAACTCATCAATAGTTAAAATCAAAATCTATTCAGAACTTTGAATCTAATGAAAATTACATTTCGATATCTTTTTGCAAGCTTAATTTTTTGTATTATCTTAAAATACATTTAGTAATGTTATGTACGTATTGAATTCAAATTATAGCGCAGTAACATGCAACTCATCTTGAGATTCACATTTCATTTTCACAATTATTGCATATATACATCAATAACATATTGTACTCATATATCTACACGACTCTAAACTCAATGACATCAAATAATGCTTGTAATATTTAAAATAATTTTTGCATTTTTGATTCTCAGCTTAACTTCTATAAATGTCACCAAAACATTTCATTCCTACCAGGAAATAATATATTAGTAATTAAGTGTTTATTACCATTGTTACTCACATCATGTTAATTCATTTTTGTAATTTTTTAAATAAATGACTGGAATCATAAACCCTATGTACCCATATCAACATGTTAAAATTTCAAAGTCTGAAACTTAGTATACATTGAGTTTCATGAAATCAGATAATCTCGTAGATTTCTTAAATATTATATATTGCTGGCCAATAATGATGCAGCATGATTCTCCATCATATCAGCATTCTAAACATATCTTTATTTTGTCAATTGGCATAAATTAAGGGTGCTTTTCAGGCGATAAATGGTATTTTAGATACCTGGGTAGGGGGTCATGAAAAAGTTGCAAAAGTCAAAAATTGAGGGTATTTTCATGGTTCATTCACAGAGTTGAAGATTATTAATTAAACACCTCAATAAATCTGCACAAATCCTGAAAATCGATTCTCATATTCTTGTTGGAATTTGATGCAGGAATTAATTTTTTTTTTCTCATTCGAAAGAATTGTATTATAACATCGCACCCATTATTAATTTTATTTGAAAATATATTTTTCTTGTTTCAAAAGTTATAACTTTAGGGAGTTTTTACTTTGATGTCGGAGAAAGAGATCAAACTAACTCATTATGAAAAATTGATGAGTATTTTTACCGGATATAACGATGTATATAATGCATTATACAGGTTGAAAACAACAAATGAAGAAGTTTTAAACTCAATTTACAAAAAAATTAAACAAAACCTGATTGGTTCTTACAATTTTTCACAAGATAAAATTATAAAAGATATTTCCAATCTTTCGATATATAACAACTCTTACATGAGGTCATATTTAGCTATCACCAAACAAATTGTAGACGAATATCATCCAAAACAGGTCAATAAAATCAACAAAGTTTTTAACTACCTTTTCTATAAAGAATACAGTATCGTTTTGAATGAAAACAAGAAAAAATGTTTTAAAAAATATGAAGATTCTCATTATTCTTCTAATATTCATGACCAATATACAATTCACAAGTCAATTATGGACAATGATAAAAAAGCATTGATAGCTTTTACAGAAAGAGAAGGGTTTGATGAAAATCAAAGAGTAAAAAGCGAATTATATCCAAAAAATTCGATATCGTTACTTGAATTATGTTGCTACCATGGATCTGACGATTGTTTTAAGTTCTTAAGAACAAATTTTCAATCAAAAATCACCCGACAATGTCTTCGATTTTCATTTTTGAGCGGGAATCAAGAAATTATGAATGAGTGCTTAAAAATGTATGATCCAGATCAGAAATGCATGAGAAATGCGATTAAATCACATAATATTGATTTTGTTACATATTTGATGAATGAACACAACTTAAAAATTGATTTAGATTGTTGCTGCTCTTACAATAATATTCAAGCATTTTTAATTTATTTGGAGCAAACAAATGATATCAACACATGTTTTGCTTATTCTCCTATTTTCTGTCTTTTACCACTCTTAGAATATTTTATTTTAAATGGTGCAATTATCAATGCTAGAAATCAATACGGATACACACCTCTTCATTATGCAGCCAGAGATAATAACAAAAAATTAGTAGAACTCCTTATTTCACATGGTGCTGATGTCAACATAATTAGAATAGCATCAAAACTTCTTCATCATGCCATCAGAAAAAATTACATTGAAGTTGCCGAAATTCTTATTTCACATGGTGCTGATGTCAACGATAAATATATATACGAATACACACCTCTTCATTATGCAGCGAGTAAAAATCACAAAGAAATAGCTAAATTATTTATTTCACATGGTGCTGATGTCAACGCTAAAGACGAAGATGGAAACACACCTCATCATTATGCAGGCATATATAATTATAATTGCCTAGAAATGGTAGATTTACTTATTTCACACGGCGCTGATGTCAATGCTAAAAATCAACACGGATACATCCCTCTTCATTATGCAGCGAGTAAAAATCACAAAGAAATAGCTAAATTATTTATTTCACATGGTGCTGATGTCAACGCTAAAAATCTATACGAATACACACCTCTTCATTATGCAGCCAGAGAAAATAACAAAGAAATAGCAGAACTACTTGTTTCTAATGGTGCCGATATCAATGCTATAAATAAAGACGGATACACACCTCTTCATCATGCAGCCAGAGGAAATAACAAAGAAATTGTAGAAATTCTTATTTTACATGGTGCTGATATCAATACTAAAGATAAATCTAAATTTGGAAGCACAGCACTTCATCGTGCAGCCTTTGGAAATTGCAAAGAAACAGCAGAACTACTTATTTCACATGATGCTGATGTCAACGCAAAAAATCTATATGGATTCACACCTCTTCATAACGCAGCGAGACGAAATAACTAAGAAATAGTAGAACACCTCATTTCTAATGGCGCCGATATTAATGCTAAAGATCAATACGGATGTACCCCTCTTTATTATGCAAAAAAACTTGATTGTGAAGAAATGGCAGAACTTCTTATTTCAAATGAGGCAATTTAAAGTATCCCCAGTAAAATTTGACTATATGCCTATATAGCTCCAAGTAACAATCAATATGAGAAAAACTAAATATAAGAATTAGTATTCCAAATCAAGGTTATCTCAATAAAAATTTCTTATTTTCATTTTTATTTTTGACGAGAAAAGACCCGACTTAAATTATTTACTTTCGAGTGAAATTTCATCATATTGCGCTTCAAATGTACTAAGCTTTATGACTACACTGTATGAAAAGTATTTGATATTGATCAAAAAGCCAAAACAAGTAACTAATTCCAAGGTTTCGGTGGTGCAGCCGGTTAGCACTTTTGTCTTATAAGCAGACGGTCGCGGGTTCGAGCCCCGCCCGAAACACTTTTTTCTCGTTACATTTTTTCTATGAGTTGGACTATGATCTTGATAAATAAGATGAAGTAGGCACTTTTTTTAAATAGTTTATTCAGAATTTAATGATAGAAAAATTGTTTATTTAAGCTGTTCGGCTCCATAATCACAAAGAATCTTTGCAATTTCGTTATGATGATTTTCTTTGGCATAAATGATGGCCGTTTTTTCTTTGTTATCTTTTGCGTTGACATCAGCTCCATGAGAGATTAGAAAAATTACTATTACTCTACTACCGAAATAAGCAGCTTCATGAAGTGCAGTCCAGCCGTTATTATCTTTTTTGTTAATATCTGCTCCATGAGATACCAGAATTTCTGCTATTTCTTTACTATCTCTGCTTGCAGCAAGATGGAGAGCTGTTTTATTTTCGGAGTCCGTTGCATTGATATCTGCGCCGTTAATAACAAGAATTTGTGCTGATATTGAGCAATTTTCATATGCGGCTATGTGAAGAGCTGTTTGATCATTACCATCCTTTTCATTGATATTTGCACCATGTGTAACAAGAAATTCTGTTATTTCTTTGAAATTCCTATTAACTGACTCATGAAGAGCTGTTTTTCCGAATATATCTTTAGCGTTGATATCTGCGCCACGCGAAACAAGAACTTCAGCTGTTGCTAAGCAATTCATCTCTACGGCATAATGAAGCGGAGTTTTATCGTTTTCGTCTTTAGCATTTAAATCTGCTCCATTGGAAATAAGAAGTTCTGTTATTTCTTTTCCGTTCATTGCTGCAGAAACATGAAGAGGAGATCTTTTCATATGATCTCTTGCATTAACATCTATATGATGAGAAATTAGTATTTCTGCGATTTCTTTAACATCAGTTGCAGCAGCAACGTGAAGTGCAACTCCACCATTTCCATCTTTTGTATTGATATCAGCTCCATGAGAAAGAAGATAATCACAAATTGATGGAATGCGGAAATATGGTGGTGCTTATGTTAAACCAGATGGAAAACTCCGTGATGGTAGCAAAATCAGTGATGACGGTTCCGGCGGAAGCTCTGGTTCGTCAGAAACGTCAGGTTCGTCAGGCAGTTCTAGTGGTAAGAGTAACAGCTCAGTCCAAGCAGCCAAGATCATTCCATGGATTGTTCTTGGAGTTTTTGTTATTGCTGTTATTGTCATTGCTATTTTCCTCTTCAGAAAAGCCAAATGCGTTGTTGTCGCCAGCCATGTCGAAGAAAGAAGAGAAACAAGAATGGTTTTAGTTTAAAAATTATTCTTTTTTATCAATTTTACCAAAATAAACATCGGACTACACTTTTACCAATTTATTTTCATATGCCTTTATGAAATGAATATCTAAATCATTTACTGGACTAATTAAATTACATTGATTCTAAATTAATGATTATAGAAACGATCGCACAGCACATATGATAGTTATGAATGATACAAGATAAGTTCATTGAAGATCACTTCATAAATCGCAAATATTAAAAATAAAAATTCTTAATTTTGAAGAAAATTAGCTTATTTTGGTTGTAATTAAAAGAGCATGGTTAGACATGAAATTTATTTATCTGGCTAATTATCCTAGCTGATAAAACATTGATAAAAATAACCTTAATGTATGGGGATTAGTTTTTACAATGGATGTTTATGAGCGCAGGCGTGAGATGCAAAAGCAATGGCGTGAAAACGCTAAACAGTGCGAATGGATTGGCGATATTACAATAGAGGAAGTTATGAAGCATAGAACACCAAAAGATTGCTGGGTCATTATCGATGGCATTGTTTATAATTGGACTCAATATGTTTACAATCATCCAGGAGGTTCATCTCACTTCCTTGGTAAAAATCCAGATATTACAGTTCCTTTCCACAATTTCCATCGTGGAATGGATATATCATTTGTTGAAAAGCTCAAGATTGGACGCCTTGTAAGTTCAAAGTATTTATACAGTTAAAAAGAAATTTATTTCTATTAAATTCTTTCGAATCATTTTTGGTAGTTATTCTCATAGACTTGTGAACATATATTCGTAATATTCATAGTTCTGCATATTATGGTGTTTTTTTTTTAAATATCTAAATATAAAATTAAAAAACATTTCATTTGGCTAGATAAATGGATATACACTGGAATGTCATTGCTAAGGTTGATACATATTAAGACGCAATTCAAATAATTTCAACAAAATATAAATTAATTTAATCGTTTTTGGTAAGTGGATTATCAAAATGAATAATAGAACCAATGTTTGTCTCGTTTTCTGAAAATAAACTACAGAATATGTTTTGAAATCTGGAAAATTACTGTCACTTTTCATAATGTTAAAAACATTTTTCAAAGCTATTTCAGCAAAAGATTTAGAAAGTTTGCAAAAACTTTCAGAAGAAGTATATGCCACAGCAAAGGCATCCAAACCAACGCGTGCTGCTGGTCATATTAAAACTGGTCGTAATCATATTTTGATAACACAATCAATAACAGGAATATTATCAGTCCAAGCTCTTGGAAAATTCAATTTCTCGAGATTTAATGAGTTTTCATACTTTTTGACTCCATTAATTTCTAATCAATTTGAAAATGCATCAAAGCCCCGAGCATTTTGTGCTTTAATTGCCGGAACTTTCCCAGTTAAGCATTTTTCAGATACATTTTTGCAGTCAATTGGTATTCCTGAAAAATACACTTCTCCAGCAACGTTTTTACTATATGGTGCTCTCGAAACAGCATCAATCAAACTTACACAGAATATTAAGACCAATCTTGTTGATTTTACTTTAACATCTCTATCAACTGCCGGACTTATTTATCTTAACTCGTTTATAATCGAATCTATCCACAAATTAGTCCCAATTATTCCTTATTTTGTCATATTTACTGCAGTTTCTTTCTTATCAGCGCCAATTCTCCACCGCGTTTGTACATTTGGTGTGAAAAGCGCCATTAGATTTGTTATTGAAAGTATTGCTTCATTAATCTTCAAAGAACAAAATTCCCACGCCGAATATCTTCCTACAGACATAGAAGTACCAGAACCAATGCAATGCACGATTTGCCACGATCTCTTGAATGATCCAGTTGAATGCCAAGGATTCTTCTTCTGCAAGAAATGCCTCGATGAATGGCAGAAAGTTGGCTCAATTCATCCAGCAAATGGTTTGCCAATTTCAGAAGAAACAATTGTCAAGAATGTGACGATGAATATGATCACGATCAAGTACAGAAGAATCGTTCTCAATCAATACAGAAGAGATCATCCTGATTGGCAAGGAGAAAATATGGATGAAGAAGAAAATGAGCAAATTACAGATGAACAACAACAAGATACACAGCAGCAAGAATAAATTAATAAATAAGACAAATACATTGAAATTAGAAGAAAATAATTTTCATCATTCTCAAAATTGAATCTAATTGATTCATTAATCGAAAAAATTCTTAGTATTATCCAAATTTTCGTTTTTGTTCGGATTTGTTCATTTATTACCAAAATATTTTTCATTATTCCATTAGTTTCAGAAACTCACTACATTTATATGCATATATTCTTTATTTTGTATATTATTAAATACATACTATTCTTTATATATCTTATTTAAAATTATTTTTTGGAATATTAGTTGAAAAACATAGATAAATTGGCTCTTTCTTCTCATCATTAATCACTTTTTAATGCACTCTATTTCCTTAATCCTAATTTTTATCATCAAATATTTCAATTTATTTTCGAAGGATTTATACCAACTAATTGACAGTATAGCTGTATTTATGATTACAATTTCATAATCTAGAGCTATGAATCATAAATACCGAACGAATTTCTAAAATATTTGCGAATAAAAGACAAAATTCTCATCTTTCATATTGTTATTATTCAGATTTTACCCAGTAACCTAAAATTAGTGTGCTCAGATCGCGAACCGCTTTACATAGAGATGTTCAAAATTCAAATCATCGTTTTTAAAAGTGCTGGAAAAGTGACATTGTAATTCATCTAAACACATGAGTGCTTTTGATTTCGCAAACGAAACGCCAGATAACAATAATAACGGCTCATCCGAATTCACATTCGGCGAGGAACAGCCAGAAGAGCAACATCCAACTCAAAAGGCCGCTCCAACAAAGAAAGCCGCACCAGGCAAGAAAGGCATGAGAGTCATTGGTATTGGCAAGAAAAAGTCAACCGAAACTAAGAAACCTAACAAATTCGCGAAGAAAGGAACAGAAAAATCAGAAACAAAACAAAAAATTTCAGTACAGTTAACCCCAGGTCAGATTCCTGAACTTGGCGAGATTAAAAACCCAACCATCATCCAAGCTCCACCAAAAGAAGATGATACATCAGCTTTCGACTTTGGAAGTGCTGAGCCGACATCAAATCAAAATGATGAAGTCTCTGCATTCGATTTCGGACAGGCTGAAGCAACCCCTGCATCAAATGAAACATCAGCATTTGATTTCGGAGCTGCATCTACAGAAAACCAGGCAGAAGCAACATCTTCATTTGATTTCGGAGGATCTGCTCCTGCTCCAGCTCAGCCACCAGTTCAGACAAGATCTGTTCCAACACCAGAGCCAGTTGCTCAACAATCTCAACCAGCTGCCGATGTTCCACCAGAAATTCAGGAACTTGGCGAAACATACGGCGGATTCGCACTCAGCTTGAACAACATTGCTTTGGCCGTTCAGGATATGATCAAAGAAACGGCTTCAAGCAAAGAAGAAATTACAAATTCAGAAAAGGCTCAAGCAGATGCCCTTTCGAACGAAGAATATGATAAGGCTGAACAACTTGATAACAAGATTTCTCAGCTCAAAGAGAAAATCCACGAGAATGAGAATAATTTCGCTATGTGCGTCCAAGAAGCTCTCGATCTCACTACCGAGGCTCCAAATCATCTCATGGAGCATGCTACTTCAGCTTCCTCGAAGCTTCCTGAATTAACATCCAGAGCTTCCGCTGTCGAAACAGAATTATCAGAAAAGAACGAGCTTCAGACAAGAGATAATACTACAATTGACATCGAGCGTCGCAAGAATGCCTCTAAAATCCAGGAACTTGAGACTCCTATCAATATGCATGCAAAGGCTATCGATGACATGCAAGCCAAGTACGATTCTGATGTTTCTAAGGCCACAGAATCACTCGATACACAAATTACAGCTCTCGAAAACGAAAGAAGAGACATATCTACACAAGTTTCGGATTTACTCAAGCAGATTGATGCTCTTAGAACACGCGAGAAGTCCGTTCAAGCCGAGATCAACAAACATACTCGTAGCAGAAAGCAGGTTGTCGATGGTTTCTCCGCTGATTTGAAGAAGATCAACCAAGAAAAGCAATCTCTTGAATCGGAGAAGCGTAAGATGAATGCTGAAATCAAGAAGATCGAAGCTCCATTCCAGAGCTTTCTTGATGACGTTGCAAAGCGTGAAAAGGAAATCAACGCATTAAATGACGAACTTAAGACACTCAAAGAGCAAATTGAGAACGCTCAGCGTGATACAGATGAAGCAGAGAAGGGAGCAGAGTTAATTACTGGACTTATCCAATCATATGGAAAATATAATGAAGAAAGATCTTCCAGATTCGAACAGATGAACTCTGATAGAAACGAGATCATCGAATCCCGCCAGAAAGTATCACTTTTGTCCCAGCAATTGATACAATTAAACACAGATCTCAAAACTTCCGAGGAATTGGTCGCAGGAGCTAAAGCCAAAGAGGAACAGCTTGAGGCCCAGAAGAAGGCTGCTGTTGCTTCAAAGAACTTCAAGGCTGCTAAAACGTGCAATGACCAACTTAAGGATTTGAAGGAAGTTACAGAGCGCGCTGAGACAACAATCACTACATCAGCTGCAAAAATCGCCCAGAACCAGGAAGAATCAGCTCATTTGACAGATAAGATTCATACTCTTGAAACAGCTTTAGTAGATGAAAAGGACGGACTTAGCAAGATCGACTACGAATTCTTCGAAGAAGCTGTCGGAATTCTCGAAAAACTCTTCGAAGTTTCAAGATTTTCTGGAAAATTATTGAAAGGTTTACAGTCAATGCTTCAGTCCCTTTTGGACAATACTGAGAAGCCTGTTGAGCTTTCCAAGGATGAATTAAAGAGTATGATCGATGAACTCAACGCAAAGATCGAAGAAGCCGTAGAAAAGGAGAACTTCGATGACGCTGAGACATTACAGGTTAAGGTTAATGCTCTTATGACCAAGTACAACAACATGGAGTAATTTATTTTATACTTTCTTTTATTTTAGTCTTTTTATATTAAAAATTTGAATATCTCGATTCTTTTTTCAAAACAAACTATCTATTAAGTCAGCAAAACCTATAAATTTCAAGAAAATTCATTTTGATTTTATTAAAGAAAGTTTCCTTAAAATTATGATCATTTTCCATGAGTTTGTATCAATACTAAATTAGTTCAGAATGAAAAACCATGATCAAATTTTAATCAAAGGTGACCAAACTATTTTTTGAAAGTCCGCCATAACTTTAATGGTACTATTTCAGCGTGTACAATGAATACAAAAATTCTAAGAGTGCCACATAAAATAGTACTTTAGACTTGAGTTAATGCTACCAAGCAAATGTTAAAAAGATGACTTTAGTGTTTTGATAATCAAAGATTAAAATCATTATTGTCTAAATCAATAATCATAACGACAGAAGTTAATGTTTTTTCATCAGTGCTTTAAATCCACTTTTAAAAGTATACCTCAAAAATCAAAATATCAAAAAAAATTGGCCGATAGGTTTGGCTTTAATTTTTGTCTGCTTTTATGATTTGATATGGATGTTATAATTTTAAAAGTTGAGCCAAATTCACCAATAGATTTTTGAGATTTGCAAATACTCAATAATTTTCAGCGTGTTATCTTTTATTAAAAGAACTATTTGGTTTCAGTATCATATAAATTGATATTTACTTTCTATTTGAACCTTCATTTAGCTAATGATTTAATAATACAGATTTCATCTAGTCCTTATAAGAGAATTTTGAATTTGTTATAATAAAAAAACAAACAGATATAGCTTACACTTCTATAATAAAGATACCTTTTATAGAAATCAGTATGAAATGTGTTTTGGCTTATTGGAAGCATATCAGACATAATCGCCATAATCAAAAAATCTATATACCCAATAAGTAATAAATTTGTCGATATAGATTTTCCATAAAATTAGTTTTTAGTCTGATCTTAAAATAAATTTAATTTTTTATAAAAAAAATCACATTTAAAAGTACCTTTTGAGTAGCTCGAAATCCTGTTGGTGGATTTCGGGCGTACTTCAAAATTAGCTTTTCTTCTACATATGCAAGCTATATTTTAAATATGGGGCAAATCGGATCGGCGAAAGGAGTTTAGTTACCTTTTTTTAATCGGAAATTTGTGGATGATTTGTTAAAATAATATGATTATTATATAAAATAGAAAAATATGTTGTTGTATTTATAGTATTCAATCTTAAAATCAATGAGCGGGGCTACGATTAACCACATTACGTTTACTAATGATGGTAAGACAATGTGCGTTAGCTACTCAAATGGCTTTGGAGTATACAACACTCTCCCATTTGAAGAGAAATTCAGGCAAATAGAAAACAGACAAATATCACATGCAATTACAATGACAGGAATCAACAAAGTAGTTTACTCCGGTGTTGAAGGACAGAGATCCTTTAGTGATAAATCAGTTTGTGTCTTTGATTGCTCAATTCACAGACCATTAACGCAAATTGACTGTCCAGAAACAATCAAAGGTCTATATATGCTACCTAAAATGTTCGCAATTGCCTTAAAGAATGAAATTCGCGTTTACAATTTCGAACCTGCTGGTCTATATACTCAATTACGTTGTGTTCCAAACGAAAATGCCCCATGCGACTTTGTTATCATCGATAACAGCTATGTCATCGCAATGTGTGGCCGTCAAACAGGTGCACTTCGTATTGTTTCTGTCGAAGCAAGCGGCTCATTAGATAAATCGATTCCTGCTCACAACCATGCAATGACTCACATCAAATTTAACATTGATGGATCTATGATTGCAACATCCAGTGAAGTAGGTACAATTATACGTGTTTTCAATTCAAAAACAGGAGATAAAATTTGTGAATTCAGACGTGGCTCTTTTTCAGCTACTATCCAATCCATTGCATTTTGCCAAACAGCAAATATCATCGCTACTACATCTACAAAGAACACTCTCCATGTTTTTGCAATCGAAGATAATTATGATGAAACAAAACGCTCTACTGCAACATGGAAAGTTCCAGATAGCCAACATACATCAATCTCATTTGCTGGCGATAATAAAATTGTTGCAGCAATCTCTGCAGGCTCTTTATTCACTCTCCACTTTAATGACGCACTGAACGAAATAGCACTGGATTCTTCTAACGATTTCCTTGTATAATCTAATCTATTTCAGTTCATTTTATACTTGTTAATTGTAGTAAAATTTAAATTCTGTTCTCATATTTACATTACTATTTCTAATGCATTTCATTCAATAAATAAGTTAATTGTTAAGTTTTTCACAATATCCATGATACAAAATGAGGAACAAAATGATTTTAATGCAAAAATGTATACTATTGCATATTGTATATGATATATTTTGGATACAATTGTATATTTATTGTGAAACATGATAGCAATAAAGATATTTTCCAGAAATATTCAGTATGATATCTGACTTTATTGATTTATACACAATATTGATACAATCGAGATGCAGCATAGCCTCTATTTCAACATATTTTAATCTATTTTGGTATAATAATTCCAAAATTTGTCTAAATCAAGTAATTATTTGATAAAATCTGGTAAATAAGTTAATAGAATTATGGTTCATTAGTAAAACTTAATTAATAAAAAAGGTAAATATTATTTTAGACGAAATAACAAAAGAAAGAGATAGAACAAATAAAAAATAAAAAAAAATTACAATGAAGGTGGTTCGTTTGTATCTGTGTCATCAATAGTGAAAGCAGGATTTTCTCCATCATTTGTTGCACTGCTTCTTCTTGATCCATCTTTCTTTTTCTCATCATTGTTTACAACGACAAGATCTTCGCATTCAGACATGTGAACAATTTCCATGAAAACTCTTTCAAGGCTAGAAGATGAACATGTGTAGTAGTCAAATCCATTATCTCCTTGTTTTCCGTTTTGCATCACATCAAACAAATCGCATAATGTTGTTGACGTAGCAGGGACAGAGTAAATTCTTGCTCTTGGTCTCATGATTGACAACTCAGCCTGAGGAATCTTTTCCTTGAAGAAATTGTCAACTTTAGCTTTAGCGTCAGCAGTTCCTTCAGTCATAGAGATATCGATCTTGAACTCTGTACCAAATCTCTGAGACAAATACTGTGGAGATCCAACAGTGTAAACGTTTCCTTTGATCATGATTGAGATTTCATCGCAAAGAGATTCAGCTTCACTCAAAAGATGTGTGCACAACATGAATGTTTTCTCACCTTTGAAAGTAGAAATCATTTCATGAACGTGTTTTCTTGCTACAGGATCCAAAGGAGCTGTTGGTTCATCGAGCAAAATAATCTCTGCAGGGCCAAGGAAACACAAAGCAATTGCGAGTTTTCTAACATCACCAGCAGATAAATCTCTGATTGGTTTATCTTTGAGTTCTTCAATTTCAAGTAATTTGATGAGTTTGTCTGTTTCTTCTTTCGCCTGTTCATCATACATTTGGAACAACATAGAGTAAAGTTTGAAATGCTCAGCAGGAGTCATTTCATCACAAAGATGTGTGTTGAATTGAGGACAAATTGATAACAAAGTTGGATCATAGAAATCTTCAATGGAAACACCGTTGATTTCGATTGTTCCATCAGAAGGAGGTAATAAACCAGTGATCATTCTAATTAATGTTGTTTTTCCTGCACCGTTCGCTCCCAAGAAACCAAACAATGATCCTTTCTTGACACCCAAAGAAACACAGTTTACAGCAGGAATTGGTTCTCCTGCCGTGTTGAAGAAGAGACGGCTGGCGTTGTGAATACGAACAGCGTATTTGTTGTTCGTATCATTGACCATTTCTTCCATTTGATGGGCTTCTTCTGTAACAGGATGTTTTGCTTTCTGATCTTTGAAGAATTGAGTGAAATTACCAAAAGCATGTTGAGCACGATGCTTCTGGACACTGAGACGGACACTTTCGATGATCCAAAGAATGACACTGTATAAAACAATGACGCAGAATTGCATAATAAGATAAATTCTGCAACGTTCATGTTTGAAGAAATAAGTAAGGTCCTGTTTGAAGAATCCCATTGTTGATAACATGTACATGAGAATTCTTTGGATAGATATGTGAGGAAGGAAAGAATAAATCACATCAACCCAAACAGGAGGATCTTCCATGTTTCTAACGATATCGACAATCATTGGGACAAGAAGAAGGATGGAAAGCATCATAAAGGCTTGGCGAGAGGCAGAATCAGCAGAACTGAAACAAAATGAAAGACAATAAATGAAAAGAATGAATCCTGGTCCGCAAAGAACAAGCGCATACCATGTGTTGAATGCGTTATCAATGAAGGCTTGGATTTGACAGGCAAGGAAAATAATCCAAATGAAAGTTACATCAATAATCCAGATGGCCAAATCGATGACGAATGTAGCAATCCAGTAAGGGAATATCGTGAGGGTGCAAGAAATCATGTATGGACGAACTTCTCCGTTGATATCTGTAATTGGTTGGGAAATGATAAGAGGAATGATGGAACAAAGGCCTGCAGCAATAAGCATTGGTCCTAATTGTCCGAAAGCCATTTGCTGGAGTTGTAAGTAAAGTCTGATGTAGCTAACATCAAAATCATATTCGTGACCAAATGTAAGCTTCCATAAAACTCTGAAGAGGTTGATTTGGCTGATTCTAAGTGCACGATTGAATGTTGCGTTGTAAATCAAAGTGAAATTATACGGAAAGATTGGAATTGGCATTGGCATACCTGTCACATTAAATGTAGTAGCAATTCTTCCATTATATGAGTATCCAAAGTTGATATACTCAATATCATCGGTCGTATCGGTGGCATGGTCGTACATAAATTTGTTGCAGTCGGAAATGTTGTCGAAATAAAGGTACTTGATATCCTTTCCGGTATCATCTTTATATACTTGGGCAAATTCATCATAGATATCTTGAAATCCTGGTGTTTGTAATTGTCCAGCCAAATTTGTCTGGTTAACGGCAACGAAATATGGGGAATTTGTCTTAAATGTCTTGAAGGTAAATGGTTCTGTATCAGATTTCATAAAGGTGACCATCAAATAATAGCAAATAATGGCTAGAGCAGAAAAAACAATTGTACCGACAGAAGATGTAACGATCGCCTTCCATGAGCGCTTGAACATAACCCATCTTCTAAAAAGGACTGCACGAAAATGCTTGTGTACAAAGAATGGCTTCCTATGCTTCTGTTGTTCGGTCATCAATTGTTTTAAATTATGATTTCTTTCAAACTGTTTTTTTATAATTTTTTTCTCATACCTTTCGTCGATGATTAACTTTTTGAATGCTAAATCGATTTTACAAGAAGCAATATCGCTTTAAAATGGATCAGGGCTCGTCATGCTTAATAATATTATTTTGATTTCGAAGATTTGTATAATATGTACTGAAATAAGATAATTTTTTCAATGGTTTGAAAAGTTTACAATAGCCCATTGATATTCTGAAAGTTTGGGTTCAACAAGTGATTTTGTTACTTGCTCTACGGTACATGATCATCAAGGATCTTTATTATGGTATTAACTTTTCAATCGATGTCATGCTTCTGATGGAAATTTGTTCTTAAGGGTCCACTGTAAAAATTGAAAGTCTCTCAAAATTGAGAGGCGATTTGCAAATAATCATTATCGTCATTTTTCGAAAATCCACTTTTCCTAGTGTTCTGATTAATATTATGTGAATACAACAATGAAGCATATGTTTCAATAAGATGGTAATATATTCTATCACTTCAAATTTCATAAAAATTGCAAAATCAGTGAGTTTTATAAGAACATGATTTTTTCGAATTTTTTCGCTTTTGGATGCGTGTTTTGAAAAATAGATATTTTCGAATTTTAATTTTATCTTAAGTATAAGTTTTATATTAGGAATTTTTTTTGTTGTAAACAGAAATTCATCAAAAGTGACACCTCAGAAAAGCTAAAATATTGAATTTTTGGAACTTTTGATAGAGCACGTTTTTAAATATTAATTAAAGTAAATGTATATTTTGTAAAGATTCTTTTTAATAAAAAAATAAAATTTTGAAGAAGAACACAAAATCTTCTGAAAAATAATATCACATAAACTCATATTATTTTCTAATATATAACTATTTTATATAAAAATCAAATTCAATGATCTTAAAAGCGAAGGATAAACCTCAAAATTTACGAATATAATGAGTGGGAATATAATGCTTATCTATCATAAAACCATATGAAATATCAATTTTTGCTTTACGCCTAATTTTTGACGACAATTAGCAAAAAATGTTAAATGTTAACACTCAGTCCATTTGAATATGAAAAATAAAATTGACTTTGATTAAATGTTTTTATTTATCATGCAATTCTTCTTGCGACCAAAGATTTGAATAAAAGTTCAAAAAATAAGATAGCTTAAAAAAATAATATACGGTAGTGTTTACTAATAGATGAATAGTATATAAATTCTATTAAAATGGATTTGATCCAAAAAAATATATAAAATTTGATCATAAATAAAATCGTTTTAAATTACTTCTTCATTTAAATTATAACAATTATTTTTGGTTTTATATTTTTTTGGATCAAATCCATTTTAATAGAATTTATATACTATTCATCTATTAGTAAACACTACCGTATATTATTTTTTAAGCTATCTTATTTTTTGAACTTTTATTCAAATCTTTGGTCGCAAGAAGAATTGCATGATAAATAAAAACATTTAATCAAAGTCAATTTTATTTTTCATATTCAAATGGACTGAGTGTTAACATTTAACATTTTTTGCTAATTGTCGTCAAAAATTAGGCGTAAAGCAAAAATTGATATTTCATATGGTTTTATGATAGATAAGCATTATATTCCCACTCATTATATTCGTAAATTTTGAGGTTTATCCTTCGCTTTTAAGATCATTGAATTTGATTTTTATATAAAATAGTTATATATTAGAAAATAATATGAGTTTATGTGATATTATTTTTCAGAAGATTTCATTCTATATGCCTATGAAAAGTACTCTCAAAACTAACTTTTTCCTAATTATAATTAAATCTAGAATATTGTATTATGCTTAGTATTATTTCATTTTTCTCATTTAATTTAGAATTTACAAATGTCAAAAAATTGAGAGCTGTCACTTTTGATGAATTTCTGTTTATTACATTTTGACCTATTTCCAATCATTAATTCCGATGTTTTTCAAGGAATTTAATTGAGAAAAAATTAGGAATTTCGCTTTAATGCCATTACAAACTAATATTATGATGCATAATATATATATTTATTGAGGCTAATGCCGGGATATCTTGCATTTAAAAAAAATTCAAAGAATTGACAATTGGATAGCACAAATTTAATTCCCTGGACAAAGTATTATTGTTTATATATTCAAACCATTATCCTTAGTTTAGATATGTTGGCCAAAAATTTTCGTGTTATTTTTTGTGTTTAAGCATAAATTATGTATTTACTTATGAAAAATAAGCATTTTATTCATTATCATAAAGATATACCATAACAATTGATAAAATTTTTTTAAAAAAAATTGTGTATTTTAGTGGGTATTATTCTGGATAATGCCAATTTTTACAAGATTTAATATTAACCATATCAATAGCCGACTCAATGTAAAATTTAGATATTATTTTTTCATTAATCAAACTTTGATAAATTTTAGTATAATGAACGATTTTGTTTCGTGTATGATACAGAAATGAAAAGCTTAATTAATATCATTTTGCATTTTTTAAAGGATGTTAGAGTACATCTACATTAAAAAATCAGATTTGAACTGCGATACTGCATCAAATTGATGCGTATCTGATAAGGATCTCAAAAGAGTAAAGTTAATTTTTTTGTGTTTTTTTAAGTTTTGGGCCTTAGTAAAACACCATCTCGAGCAATATTTTTGGGACGACGATAGACCTTATTTGGCCTTACAGTGGACCCTTAATATTGTTTCAATATGAGGTTAATCCGTGTTACTTTGCTAAGTTTTGATATGAAAATGACCGTTCAGGTCTTCTGGGGATGATTCTTATCAGTATTAGCTTATTTTTTATTTTGAATTTGCTTCCTTTAATAGAACTTTTAGAGAATTCGTCTCTATATTATGTAGAAAGTGTATCTAATGAAGAAATTAAAAAAAAATTGATCAACATATCCAAAGTCAAAGGAAGAAATGAGTCATATCGTTTCATCAAGATCGAATACAGTGATGTTGCCTGAGAAATAGATAAATCAGATGATACTTGGTTTGAAAATGAACCAGAAGATTTCGAGAATTGAGTCGTAATACTATAAATGGCAATAGTTGGAAAAATTCATTAGATATATCAGTTAGAAAACAATGATAGTTTAGATTATCAATAAAATTGATAAATAAAAAAAAATTATCAAATCATTCTCAACATATCATCTTGTAAGTTGATAACTGCAAGTGATGGTCCGACGCACAGTTTATGGATCATTGGTGGATCCATTAAAGGAGCACCAAGGAATCCGAAGACAGAGCGCTCTTCTTCTCTGTAAACAAGAGATGTATTTTGTGTTCTTGGCAACATGAACAGGCCATTGTCATCAACATCTCCATCAACTGTGGAAACAGTTTCACCATCTGGAGCGATATGGAAGTACATCCAAGTCTGGCGCTCGAGATGATAAGCGTAAACGTGTGTGTATTGTGCGTTGGACCTTCCTCCGATGAGAAGTAAGACAGGTCCTGTCTTCACCATTGAGGAACCGATTAATTTGGAGTTTACAGGCTGTCCTTTTGGCATAAAGCCTCCTATTTCCAATGTTTCGAGATCTAATGTCATCAAAACGGCATTTTCATCTGTGGCTCCGCCTTGAATGTAAATCATTTTTCCGTCTTGGACATGTGGGAATCCTGTACGTCCCTTAACATCTTTTTCGATGAATGACCATGTCTTTTCTGTTGTATTGAGGATGTTCAGCTCGGATAAGAATTTTCCATTATAGCCACCCCAGATTATAATCTTGTCCTCGTATGATGTAACAAGCGGTGATGAACGAGGAGCTGGGACTGGTCCACTGAACTCTGGGCGAAGGATTTCGTAAGTATCGAGATTAATTATGTGTAAATCGGCGATATATTCCTTTGTTCCTGTATTATATCCGCCAAAAATGACTAAGTAGTTCTTCATAAGCGTAGCTCTTGAACCAGAACGTGGCATGATATCAAATCCGTTTACGGGTAGCTGAGCCCAGGACTTAACATGGAAATCATACTTCCATATATCATTTAATGGCTGATTCTCTTTGTTAAGGCCGTATCCGATGTAAAGAATTTCGTGTTCTGCATCGTATGCTTCAAAATGGGAGGATCTTGGGCAGGGCCCGAGCCCATTTGTAGGTAAAAGCGACCATATGGCATGCACCCATCCTTTCAGTAGAGTCGGGTTATGCACAAGTGAACAGTTGGTCACAGGTTGATGCGTGACAATTGAATCATCCTTGTTGTCAGGGCGGTATCCAGACATAGGAACATACTCATCTGGAGGGATATAAGCAAATGCCTGAGGGTAAGCATTAGCGGCACTAGATAAAGGTCCCATAATAAAAAATGATTTTGCCATTCAAGTCACTTTTGTCGACTTTCAAAATTATCAATAGATTTTTTTAAATTGAATACTTGTAAAATAATAAAATTATTTTGAAACTGCCAGTTTTCCAAAGATTTATTGCCAGTTTGCAACCTAAAGATTTTCTTCAAGAACTGAGTAAAAATTTCTTGACCTATTTCATCTCAAAAAACCGCAACTACCCACAATCAAAATCTTTTTGATGTAAACTATTGAAAATAATTGAGAGCAAAATCATAAAAAGTTATGCAATTTTAAAAATTGTGCTACAAATCTGATGCTAATTATCAATTCATTTGGAGGTTTTTAAAATTTTAAAATCTTTGTTTCCTGCCTTTGAATAAATGACAGAGCAAAAATGTGTTATATGAGACCGTTTATTCAAGTCTAACAATATAAATCTTCATCTGGAGCAGTGTATTCAAAAAGTATAAAACAAATGTCAAAATGCTTTAAATTAAAACATGGTTATAAAGATTTATGCGGCCATTACATTAATATTAGTTCAATAAAACCCGTTTTTTGGGTTGCTATTAATTCCAAGCCAGGAAACAAGGATTTGAAGCATTCTGAAAATTGAATGATGAAGATTTAAAAACCTCTAAATTAAAATGCAATAAAAGTCTGAATAAGGGTTTCGTTTTGCTAAAATTGTCACTTTTATAGCATATTTGTTTTTGGATGTTTTGCGAAACCAAAAAAAAAAAAACTATGATATACAATGTGTGTGTAAGAAAATACTTTATTTACTAGTTAAAAAATACATTTGTATTATGTGATCAAGTTTTTTTTCTGGATAAGATATTATATGGATAATTGGATAGAAAATACAATTATATAATCTTGTACCTGGTTTAATTAAGCTAATTGTCATCAGAAACTTGTAATTTTTATGAATTTCAGATTTTCTTTTCATTACTGCTTTTCTTAATAGGTCAAGTTCTTATTTACGTTATAAAGTATGATATTTACAAATATCAAGTTATCATGTTTTTGAGAAATTATGAGAAACAAACAAAAAAAAAAGATAGGAATAGCAATGAATAGTGATGTGGGTATATAAAATGTAAGAGATATGAATGCAAAGCAATTAGTATTTAGGATATTGACCATAGATTTCGAAAAAAAAAATGCTGCATATTGAGCGAAAACTATGATTATATTATAAGGCTGTCATTTAAAGCATAATGAAACTATTCCCTTTTCATTTTAATCGAATAAGATAGTAAAGATTTTTGAATTAGCTAGAAACTGATGAGATGTTTTCACAAATCAGATTTTTAATCTCTATAATGCATAATTCACTCAATATCTCAATTTTGATATTGCGAGATATTTTTGCTATCGGTTTCGCAATTTTGACACAATAGCAAGAGGGTTCTATAAGCATTATTATCAACGTAGAATCTGAATATCATATCAGAAAATGTCGCAAATCTGACATTTACCCGACCAAATAGCAAAAATAATTGAATACTTTTCGCAAAAACTTTAAAAATCGATAAAAATATAAATATAGATATTAAAGAGACTTTTTATATAATATTCATAAAGATTTTCCAAAAATATGATACCGCAAAATTAAAAAAGTGACGTCTTGAGTGGAGTCAAAGGTCGAAATTGCTAGCTAAATGTTTTTTTAGCGAAATTGCGTATTGTACGTTTTTTCGCAAAACGAAACCCTTAGTCTGAATTATAGCAAGATTTTAAAACAACGTTGATTTTGATGATTTTACTCACAATTATTTTAAATAGTTTACATTGATAAAATTCGAGAATTCAATTTAGTTCAGAATAAAGTGATAATATATGACGATATTTTATCTATAGGTTTATTGTTTGAAATATTAAAGCATACATTGAACAAAATAATGAAATATTTGAAATTTGACCTAAAGATTTCAGATTTTCGATTTTCTATCATTTTTTGATTATCTTGACTCAAGAAAGCATTTTAATATAGTTATACTACTAAAAATTTAAATCAATGAAAGAATGCCATGAGAATACGCGGAACTTATCTAATTGATTCATATATTACGCTTTTCGATAATATATGGTGATATATGATATGAATGTGATATGTGAATGCAATTTATAGTAAGAATTTTCAGAAATTAAATTATAAATTGAAGAAATAAGCATGAAAAGTTATGGTTTTGCTTTTATCTATTATCAGCATTTTGTATATACTGCAATATTATTAAATAAAATTTAGCGAAATGGCAATCTGCTTCTTGATTGTCAAAATTTCGATCAACTTGAATGCAATTTTTCAATACTTCGGTTTAAATATTTATTCTACATTCCGCACATGTAATGAAATCTGAAAACAAATTTCAATATCTTACAGCATTCAATTTCATTTATTGAAATAGACCGATGAGTGCTTCCCCGCAAACATACTTAATTGATAGGATAATCACTTGTTTGCAAAATGAATTGAATAAATCTTGCAGTGATGAAGATAATAGTATAGTTTGGTTTAGCCCTGACTTATGGTTATCATTTCCTAATGATGAAATCCAAATGTCATTGGAAACACTCAAAAATTTGAACGACCCATACCCGTATACACATCTTATAATTCAAATTCTTAACAATCTTAACAAGTACGCCCTGGAAAAACTCACTTACAAAAATTCGCTCTTTTTTCAATCGCTCTTTCATATTACATCCTATTTTACGCAAATACCAAATGATGTAAATGCAAAGATGATATCTACTCTTATAATTAGCCATGATTTCTTCAATAATAATCAAGATCTTTACAGAAACTGTATATCGCTCTTTATCAAAACAATTGGCCAAAAGTCTAATTACCAAATGGAAGCTATTTCAAGTGTGAAATCCAAGATAGGAGTTCAAAATATTGGAAATATGACAAAAATATTGATCGCAGCGACCGATACCCATGTAACTCTACTTTACCTTATTGAGTCTATGGAGTACATGATAAATAGATTCGATGAATCGAACTACGCATACATTTTACTTTGTCTAACTCGTGTTTTCTCAGAAATGGCCTTGACGCATCAAAAAGAACTTTCCAATGCTATACAAGTATCAGATAAAGATAAGATAAAAGACATTTTCAACAAATTATATTCGAAATTAGGTAAGTCCGAGAGATCCGTCTCTGTTTTATCTTTCCTCATCATGTTCATTCTCTACGGAAATCCATCGATCGACAAGAAAGAACTTGAAACGTATAAAAAGATTATTTCATTATTCAAAAAGCTGGAAAAGTCAAAATTCCTTGATTCCTTGTTTTTAGGTACATATCTGATCTCATTGACCTATTTCGTTGTTGGAGAATCTTCTTACAGTGCTCATTTAGATTTAATTAAAATTGCAGTGAATCAATTCATTAAATCATGCACAAGTAAGCTTGTTGCTGATAAATTCCCCAACTACATGCATATTTTCGGTGCTTTGGAGTACCAACTCGTTCAAAATCCGAAAATTATTGAATCAGAAAATCTTTTCATAAAAGTGTCAAATTCCATCATTTCCCGTTTTTCAACATCGAAGTATTTGACACAATACAAGAGCAACTACAGGAATATCATCTTCGCGACACTATCCGGTATCTTGAATGTCTCAGAAGAAGATTTGGATCAACAACCGCAAAATAATTCAAAAGAAAGTGACAGTGAACGTTGTGTGTCAATTTTCTTATCGTTGAACGATATAAATTTTGAACTAAATTGTCAGAAGATTGATGGTATTCATGAGAAGAAAGATGCTACGAAAGAGATGGCTTTATTCTTCGAAATTTTCGAGAACACGACGAATATTTTGAATTTCATTTCTTTGTTCTTGAAAGTTTACAAAAATTACCCAGAAAAAGTTGGTCCAAAATTGTCACTTTTCACCAGAAATCTTTTTATTCCATGGAAGAATTATTTCGATATTTTCGAGACGATGAGAGAAAAAGAGATTTCTTCATTTTTATATAATGTTTCTCAGAACTTTTTATCGGTTTTTCCAACGATTAATTTGTCACATTTTCCAAATTGTGAGAACATACAAATTATTTACCAAGAATTCCTTAATTTCTGTTTAGTTATATGCACAAGGGTTATTAAGAACAATAGTGTGTTTTATCCATTAATTCAATCAATAACTGATACGAAACTGATTGAAACAGCCATTTTCTCATCAATCTCAAAGAAATGGTTGGAAAAAGTGAATTATTTGATAAATAAAATAACGGTTTTGGTTTACAATGACGAAAAAACTGTTATTCAACCTTCAGAACAAACTTGGAAAGAACTTGTCAAAATTCCTTTCAAATTTGACGTTGTTTTGCCAACGGTTTTGTCATCTGTCATGTCAATGTTAAGTTTCACGAATACATTCATTGATGAGTTCAGGTTGAAGTTCACTAACTTAGCTTTTTCTGAGAATTCTGTTGCTTTAGATTATTTACAAAGTCCTGCAAAAAGTCATACTGTTTTTGCCAGAAATTTAATGAATAGTTTGCATGAAGAATTAAGGAAAATACTTTCATTAATGAGTGGCAATTATGTCCAGAGAGTTTTGAACATTGCATATGTTGCAAATTCCATTGTGAAGAACAATGAAGAAATAGCGAAAAATGATTCAAATGGAGATATTTCTATTATGTTTTTCTGTTTCCTTATGACTGATTCTATTTCAACCAACAATAAGTTCAAAGAACTCAGTCTCTCCATCTTTGAATTCATTAATGCGATATCTTCACAATTAGATCTAACTAAGAAATATAATATCATTCTTCTTTTAACAGATGTTATGGCTTATAATTTGAGAAATCTCACAAATGATGTTGTTTTGTCAAATGCTGTCAAAAGTTATTCATATTTGACAGAAAATTTCCAATTCTACAAAGAGACAAAACATGCTTCGGTGTTTTCAACATACATGGCTGCAAGAGAAGATATATTTTACATTCTTAGAATTTTGAAAAGAACCGCTTTGGAACTCACAAAATTGAAACAAGATGTCACGTTTTTAGAAAAAACTTTTTCGAATATTTTACATAATAATTTTGATTTATGTAGTGATTATTTCTTTGATATACTGCAGTCTACTATTATTGATAATCTCTCTGTTAATATAATTTCACAGATAACGAAAGAAGAAATTTTAAATCAAAATCCAAAAGTTGAAGATGATAAAATTGTTTCAAATTTTGTCACATTTGATTTCAATGACATTTTACTTGAATTAAATGAATTACCAGAGTATCATTCAGCAGCTGTTGATTATGCATGGTTCTACGGAAAGAATAGACAATTGTTAGATTTTGTTGTCAAAAATGGAAATGAAAGAGTGAAAAATCTCTTTTTCACAGCTTATTTGCAAAGATGCGGTGCTGATATCGATTACAAGAAGATCATTTCTGCATACGAAAAAGGATCTGCAATTGATTTCGCTGATGAATTGAGACTCAACGAGGAATTCGAATATTTCTTCAAAGATTACGAAAAAATTGAAGATAAATTGGCACTTTTCCAAACATTCTTTATTCTTTCGTTCTTTGCAACACCTTATGATATGGTGTTTATAGGAGTTTCGATAGAGTCAAGTCGATTTCGTTTGTCGATTCTCTCAAAAAATCAAAGATTTTCACAATCAAATTTGAACATGAATTATCACTTCACCGACCATTTATAAATACTCCAAATCTGTATGAAATTCATGAGAGAGCATTGAAGTATTTGCCATATAAGAAAGTTCCTCAAGACAATGTCAAAGACTCTGATAATTTTGGATCAATGAAATATGAAGAAATTGTCAAAATGAGAAACGATAATTTGATGACGATTATTCCGAATTCAAAAAAGAAAGGTTTTCTTATTTCCCTTAAAAATTTGAAGACAGAAGACATTGGTCATTTTGGAGATTTCTTTATAGGCCATTTAAGAAGAAATGTTAAGTATTACATCGTTGTTGATTTGATGGAAGCAAGAATTCTTGATTTTGATTTATTCCATTCACAAGTTACAAAAATTTATCAAAAAGTTGCTGATCAATTGGATAACGTTTTTCTTCTGAATTTGACAAAGAATTCCGCTGGTTTCTTGAACAATTATAAGACTGATGAATGGGTAAATGTTATTTCCGTGTTAAATAACATCAACGACATCTTTGAAGTATATCCAGATTTGATTTTACCTTTGAACTCTGTAAGACACGATTTTGAATTTTCAAAAGTGACATTGCCAAATGACAAAATTGGTCAACTTTACTTTTCTAGAAGGAATTTAACAATAGAAGCACCAGGAGATGTATTAACTGTCCCTGATGCGAAGAGAATTCATATTATTCCGTTCAATTTGATCACGAAAATTGTAATTATTGAAAATGTTGTTCAAATTCATTTTTCAACAGATAAAGTTGCGAAATTTTCGACGATTTCGCCTGAAGCAATTTCAAGGGTCATTGATATGAAGAGAGCAGGAATTTTCTCAAGACAAAAGTTCATTTGTTCCGTTAATCGATTGATAAGATTCGCTGATTACGTTGCTTATTCAATTAAAATGATTGCAAGTAAAAGCCATGATATCGGAGCAAGTTCTGCCAATTTATTCACAAGGTTGACATCAAGTAATTACTTAGAATTCGTTGGTGCAAAGTTTGCTTATCCTTCCCAGGAATGGTGCATAAAAAGACTGAAAATGATCCCTGAAAAATATGAAATTTTTGCAAGATTCATTGAAATGATCAGGGATGAAGTTGATGCACCTTTCTACTTGTCTAAAGGTCTTCCTCTTCTTTCTGAACAAGAAATCATTAATCTTATGAACAGATTGTCAAAAGACAATAAATTTGATGTTAAATTGTGGTCAAAAACACCAATCGATATTTCATCAATTGTTTTGCAATCAACAGTTAATGTTACTGAAAAGTTTTCAGTTGAAATCGCAAATATTTCATTGGAAGGCGTAACTAAATTCATTTATGATGAGAAGATCACTCCGAAGATGTTGAAAAACACAGTGGAAAACCTTCCTTCAATCATTGTTGTCGCATCGAAACTTCCTGAGAATTTTGAAGCAGAAATTTTCATTTTTGTTATTCAACAATTCATGAAAATCGAAAGTATCGAGTTCGAATATCTTTCATTGGCTGAATCGATATGTGTTAGATACAGATTACCATTGAATGTTTGCGAAACAGAAGCCGACAAAAAGAAACAAAGACAAGCAGATGAAATTTACAGTTATATCATTAGATACCGAAAGATTTGCGAAATTTCAAATTGTCTTGAAGTTTTCGACAATTATTTTCGCGGTAAAAAGGATCCTTTATCCATTTTAGTTCGTACATTGTTTGATGATGATCTTGAACAGTTATCAAATGATTGTTTGAACGCGTTTCCAACGTCAGATGTTTTTAATTCTGGATATTTGTTTGTTGCGATGTCTTTCCTTTTGGATAAAATTCCATTAAAAGTTTCATCATATTTCGACATCACAGTTCAATACTGCACAAGGGATTGCAAGATGTCAGCAGATCTTATGATGAAATGTCTTTCAATGAATGAATATTTGGTTGGTGAAAACATCACTAAAATCGTTCTTACATTGAAAGACATTTTCCGAAACATTATGACGAAAAGTGATGCATTAAAGTTGCTCAAAATGATCAGACAATCACAACACTTAACACAAGAACAGTCTGTTATTTCTGCTGTTCCTTTAGTTGCTTTTGATTTGGATGACGCATTCCCTGTATCAATCAAACCAACTCCTTTTGCATTTTCTTTCTTGTTTGATGTGATGAATTCTGGATGTTTGAGTGTGAAACAAATGCACAGAGTTTTAGATTTCTTCACTACATACAAATCATCAATTGATGATGAGATGAAAGAGAATCTTTTCAACGAACTTTGCACATTGATGTCTGTTGAAAATACTATAGAAACATCTCTCAAACTTACAAATCTTTTGAAATTACTTTCTACATGATTTGTAATCTAATTTTTTCTTTATTTATTTATTGTATGTATTTTATTTGTAAATATATTATTTTGAGATTTTGAAGAGCGAGGAATGAAAGATAAACTTGGATCAATTAAATTTCGGACTTCAACAGTATCTGCCGAATCATCACTACACAAATATTGTTGACATAATTTTTTATGTTTGTCTTTGATTGGAATTAAACAATTTGAGAGAATATATTTGATAATATCGATCTTTTGATTGGAAATTGCGATTGAAAGAAAATCATTTTGACCATTTAAATCAATATTATGATTATATTTAAGTAATTTCTTGAAAATTTTAAGATATCCGAGTCGAATTGATCTCAAAACAGGAAGATCATTATTTAATGATTGTATCGAATAATCTGCACCTTCATGGATCAAATACTCAACAATTTCCCATCTGCCAGATGAAACAGCGAGAAGAACACAATTTTGTTTTCCTTTGTCTTGAAATGAAAGAGTTTCTTTTTTGGGATCTCTTGATACTAAATGCTTGATCAAGTCTAAGTTTCCGCATTCACATGCAATTAATAATGCATTCTTTCCTGAATTTTCATTAATTTAATTGGCATCTAAGCCATTTGAAATTAGAAAATCGAATATTTTTGTACTGCCGCTGATAGAAGTACAAAGAATTGCGTTGTCTTTATTTTTGTTAATTGCTGTTTTGTTGCATTTGTTGTTGATAAGAGATTCGACAAGATTGTAATTGTTCTTCAAACATGCAGAGAGAAGGATTGTGTTTTGTTGATCATCAACGATTTCTGATAATCCGATTGTACATGCAACTTTTATTGTCGATTCATCTTTCACATCTGCTCTCTGCGAAAGGAAATTATAAATATCATCAAATTTGTTTTGAATTTGGAAGATATCTAAGAATCTATTGATCAACTCATCATTTGTTTGATTTGAATGAATTTTGTCACAAATAATAGACAAAAATGATTCATATTGTTCATATGAATATATTTTCGAGCGATCTCAATGCATTGAAAGGATCCAATTCATTGATAATTTTGACGGACTTAGGTAAGAAAATTTCTTTAATAGGAGCATTGATGATTGGGTCATCTTGTATTTCAACAATTGTGTCAGAAAGAGTAACATTTGTTATAAAAGAAGAATCAATACACTGTGTTGATAAAATTCTACAACTACTGTCAATAATAATTGTTGTATACTGACTTTCAATAGCTTGTTTCTCAAGAATTCCGTCAGTACATGATAATGTTTTTACATTTATTGTAGAACTAAATGAATTTTGGAATCAATAAAAAATTTATATTTTGTCACTTTTTAAAATAAGATCTGACATTTGCTCTATTTGAAAATGAACAAATAGCATATATAGTTGTTGGATCAGGAGAATTAAGAATGTTTAATAAGCGCCAAGATGTTTTTGATTTAAAGAATAAAAAACGAGGAATTCGAATATTTCTTCAAAGATTACAAAAAAATTGAAGATAAATTAACACTTTTCCAAACATTCTTCATTCTTTCGTTCTTTGCAAAACCTCACATATAGAAGTTTGAACTGAGTCAAGTCATTTTCTTTCACAATCACTTCACCGATCACTTATAAATATCAAATTTATATAAGTTCATGAGAGAGTATTGAAGTATTTGCCATATAAGAAAGTTCCTCAAGACAATGTTAAAAGATAATTCAGATCAATGCAATTGCAAGATGATAAACAATAATTTGATGATGAGTTCCGAATCCAGAAGAATCTGATTTTTATTTTATCAAATCAATATGATTATATGAATTCAGATACTCTCAAAAAAATTGAGATTCATAAATTTACGAGATGAAAACTAGTATTTTAGTATATTTAAACTTAGCAATAATAATTTACTTACAATTTGGATTAATGAATCAATATAAATAGTATAAAAAATACAGAAGAAAATTTTCGATATTTTGATCTTTTAAATAGCCATGAATCAATAGTTATTTTTGCTGTCCTTATTTTTACTAGATTTTGATGATTTTGGTTGTTCTGTGTCGGATGTTTGTGATTGAGTTTGATTAGAAAAATTCAATTATATCAGTAAAAGTTTCAACAGATGTTGATTCATTTTGATTTATTCAGCAGATGTTGATTCATTTTGATTTATATCAACAGATGTTGATTCATTTTGATTTATATCAGCAGGTGTTGATTCATTTTGATTTATATCAGCAGGTGTTGATTCATTTTGATTTATATCAACAGATGTTGATTCATTTTGATTTATATCAACAGATGTTGATTCATTTTGAATTGTTTCAGCAGGTGTTGATTCATTTTGATTTATATCAACAGATGTTGATTCATTTTGAATTGTTTCAGCAGGTGTTGATTCATTTTGATTTATATATATGCTGATTCTTTGATTAGCGTCAGATTTAGTAGATTCCTGTGCTTTATAATTGCTTGAAAAAATGGGTCAATCTTCTTTATGGTTTCTATTTCTTCAAGAGAATCGCAATTCGAAAGATACGATTTAACTAAATTTTTATGTTTTTCTTTAATTCTAACTAATTTTTTGTCGATAATGTATTTTATTATTTTGTATCTTTGATGAGAAATTGCAATTGTAAGAAAATCATCTTCAGCATTTGGATCAAAATTGTGACAATATATAAGTAAATTCTGGAAAATCTCAAGATGTCCAAGCCTTACGGATCTAAAAATAGGAAGGTCATTATTTGATGAATGTAGAGATGGGTCTGCATCATTTTGAATTAAATAATGGATTATTTCCCAATTACCAGAAGAAACAGCTAGAAGTATACAATTTTGATTTTCTTTGTCTAAGTCTGAAAGTGAAAAGCCTTGAGATACTAGATGCTTAATCATTTCAAAGTTTCCGCTTTCACAAGCTGTTAAAACGGCATTTCTCCCTGTGATTTCGTTAGATATTTTAGCATCTAAGCCATTTTTAATGAGAAAATCGAATATCTTTGTGCTGCCACTGATTGATGTGCAAAGAACTGCATTGTCTTTATTTTTGTTAATTGCTGTTTTGTTGCATTTGTTGTTGATAAGAGATTCGACAAGATTGTAATTGTTCTTCAAACATGCAGAGAGAAGGATTGTGTTTTGTTGATCATCAACGATTTCTGATAATCCGATTGTACATGCAACTTTTATTGTCGATTCATCTTTCACATCTGCTCTCTGCGAAAGGAAATTATAAATATCATCAAATTTGTTTTGAATTTGGAAGATATCTAAGAATCTATTGATCAACTCATCATTTGTTTGATTTGAATGAATTTTGTCACAAATAATAGACAAAAATGATTCATATTGTTCATATCTTGCTTTGACTATTTTCGGATTCCTTCCATCAAGTTCGTTGATCTTTTTCTGCATTTCTAAAACATAATTCTGATACTTCTTGTAGGATTCATTCGAAGTAAGATCCAATAACGTATTCATTACTGAGGATCGAATCATTTCAGCATCAAATTTATTGATATAATAAGCAAAATAACTGCAATCTTTGATCAACGCAATCAAGAAGTCATATACTTTATCAACTTTGTTTTCATCTTGAAAATATCCGAGTTCTTCACATTTTGAAATGATTTTATCGATGAAATCTTGATTGCTTAATATGTTTTCGGAACCAATACGACATAAATCAATAAGTTTTGATGGTTCTATTTCCGAAATATTTTTCGCTATGAATATGATAATGTCATCTAGTTTTTCATTGTAATTCTTTCGCGATTTTCTTATAAATGAAAGGACTTCTTCTATATTTTTTAAGTTTATTTCATCTCTGAAAATAAGAGTACTATACCAATCGAAAAAGTCTTCAATCTCGAGATCTATGCCTATTTGATATATTTCTTTCAGAATATCTTCAGAAATTTCGATAGAAACTTTGTTTTTTATAAAAAGTTGATAAAAGATTTTAAATGTTTCATCACTGACTCCTTTTAGTTTATATTCTTCAATGTTTTCTCCTTGCATGTAGTCATTCATAACTTTCCTGCTATATGAACACAATGTTTTAAAAGGAACTTCCATTTGATGATTTCCATCGCTGATTTTGATCTTTTTATCATCCACAATACTATTAAATTGAAATTGCTTAAATGCTCTTCTGGCAACAAATTCGGGCATCTATTAAAAATCCAAAATAAATTGAATACTTATCAATTCAAAATTTTTAGAGATTCTTTATTTTTAATAGATTTATAATCCCGAAACAATTTTAAGCGATTCATATTCCAATATATTCAAAATATTTTTCTGAGAAAAGTTCAGAAAAGTTTGTATTATATTTATAATTGCATCGCTAATAATGCAAAAATATATTTATTAAATAAGCAATTATTCTTTAAAATATAATTACTGAAATTACGATTATTTTTTATTCAAATACGAAATTGTATTGGATGAAAAATTTTGCGTAATTTATAGTTTTCTAATTAATTATTTGCGTATAATGTACATTTATTAATAAAATTTGTACTCTTAGGCCTTATTTAAGCTGATTTTTTTACTAATGTCAAAAGAAATTCATTTTGATTAGTGTCAGATTCTTGAAAGATTTGGGTCTATTTTTCCTTTGAAATTCTATTATTTCAAGAGAATTGAGATTCGAAAGATATGATTTAGCTAAATATTTATGTTATTCGTTAATTCTAAATGATTTTTTGTCTAGAATATATTATCATTATATTGGATCTTTGATGGGAAATCGCTATTGTAAGGAAACCATCAATTGTAAATGGAAATTTTAGAAAACCTCAAGATGTCTAAGCATCCTCTTTGATAAGTAAAATTCTTTGAATTTTGATATATTAATTGGATAAATCATTAGTTAAGTTAATTTTATTTCTATTTCTTTATGAAATAATAATAAATATACTCATTAGGATGTTAAGATCAAATAAATATCTATAACAATAGGCTGGACATGTGTGTATTTCAATTGAATAATATGAAATAGTGTAACTTTTGAGTATATCCGAAATTGCAGCAGGAAGGGAAATTCCCAATGGGAAAATAAAATTTCGTAAATTATTTGAGTTAGTAAAAGCATATTGATTAATATAAGTGATTTCATTTTGAAATATTAGCGAATTTATATAAGATTGGTATGAGAAAGATTGGTCTCTAATGATTTTAACATTTTTTGGTAAATAAAATACTTTTGCAGTTCGAGCTGATGGATAATGAACTATTTCCTCGAAATTTTTTGTGTATAATACACCATCTAACGAAGTAAAATATGGATTCTGTTCATCAACAAATATATTTTCGAGCGATCTCAATGCATTGAAAGGATCCAATTCATTGATAATTTTGACGGACTTAGGTAAGAAAATTTCTTTAATAGGAGCATTGATGATTGGGTCATCTTGTATTTCAACAATTGTGTCAGAAAGAGTAACATTTGTTATAAAAGAAGAATCAATACACTGTGTTGATAAAATTCTACAACTACTGTCAATAATAATTGTTGTATACTGACTTTCAATAGCTTGTTTCTCAAGAATTCCGTCAGTACATGATAATGTTTTTACATTTATTGTAGAACTAAATGAATTTTGGAATCAATAAAAAATTTATATTTTGTCACTTTTTAAAATAAGATCTGACATTTGCTCTATTTGAAAATGAACAAATAGCATATATAGTTGTTGGATCAGGAGAATTAAGAATGTTTAATAAGCGCCAAGATGTTGTTTGATTTAAAGAATAAAAAACGAGGAATTCGAATATTTCTTCAAAGATTACAAAAAAATTGAAGATAAATTAACACTTTTCCAAACATTCTTCATTCTTTCGTTCTTTGCAAAACCTCACAGATACGGTGTCTATAGAAGTTTGAACTGAGTCAAGTCATTTTCTTTCACAATCACTTCACCGATCACTTATAAATACTTCAAATTTATATGAAGTTCATGAGAGAGTATTGAAGTATTTGCCATATAAGAAAGTTCCTCAAGACAATGTTAAAGACTCTGATAATTTCAGATCAATGCAATTGCAAGATGATAAACAATAATTTGATGATGATTGTTCCGAATCCAGAAGAATTCTTGATTTTTGATTTATTTTATTCATATAGAAATCAATTATTTTTTGCTTATGATTATTCTTTATGAATTCAGATACTCTCAAAAAAATTGAGATTCATAAATTTACGAGATGAAAACTAGTATTTTAGTATATTATAAACTTAGCAATAATAATTTACTTACAATTTGGATTAATGAATCAATATAAATATTAGTATAATTAAAGTCGTCATACAGAAGAAAATTTTTCGATATTTTGATCTTTTAAATAGCCATGAATCAATAGTTATTTTGCTGTCCTTATTTTTACTAGATTTTGATGATTTTGGTTGTTCTGTGTCGGATGTTTGTGATTGAGTTTGATTAGAAAATGTTGATTCATTTTGATTTATATCAGCAGGTATTGATTCATTTTGAATTGTTTCAACAGATGTTGATTCATTTTGAATTGTTTCAGCAGATGTTGATTCATTTTGATTTATATCAACAGGTGTTGATTCATTTTGATTTATATCAACAGATGTTGATTCATTTTGATTTATATCAGCAGGTGTTGATTCATTTTGATTTATATCAGCAGGTGTTGATTCATTTTGATTTATATCAACAGATGTTGATTCATTTTGATTTATATCAACAGATGTTGATTCATTTTGAATTGTTTCAGCAGGTGTTGATTCATTTTGATTTATATCAACAGATGTTGATTCATTTTGAATTGTTTCAGCAGGTGTTGATTCATTTTGATTTATATCAACATATGCTGATTCGTTTTGATTAGCGTCAGATTTAGTAGATTCCTGTGCTTTATAATTGCTTGAAAAAATTGGGTCAATCTTCTTTATGGTTTCTATTTCTTCAAGAGAATCGCAATTCGAAAGATACGATTTAACTAAATTTTTATGTTTTTCTTTAATTCTAACTAATTTTTTGTCGATAATGTATTTTATTATTTTGTATCTTTGATGAGAAATTGCAATTGTAAGAAAATCATCTTCAGCATTTGGATCAAAATTGTGACAATATATAAGTAAATTCTGGAAAATCTCAAGATGTCCAAGCCTTACGGATCTAAAAATAGGAAGGTCATTATTTGATGAATGTAGAGATGGGTCTGCATCATTTTGAATTAAATAATGGATTATTTCCCAATTACCAGAAGAAACAGCTAGAAGTATACAATTTTGATTTTCTTTGTCTAAGTCTGAAAGTGAAAAGCCTTGAGATACTAGATGCTTAATCATTTCAAAGTTTCCGCTTTCACAAGCTGTTAAAACGGCATTTCTCCCTGTGATTTCGTTAGATATTTTAGCATCTAAGCCATTTTTAATGAGAAAATCGAATATCTTTGTGCTGCCACTGATTGATGTGCAAAGAACTGCATTGTCTTTATTTTTGTTAATTGCTGTTTTGTTGCATTTGTTGTTGATAAGAGATTCGACAAGATTGTAATTGTTCTTCAAACATGCAGAGAGAAGGATTGTGTTTTGTTGATCATCAACGATTTCTGATAATCCGATTGTACATGCAACTTTTATTGTCGATTCATCTTTCACATCTGCTCTCTGCGAAAGGAAATTATAAATATCATCAAATTTGTTTTGAATTTGGAAGATATCTAAGAATCTATTGATCAACTCATCATTTGTTTGATTTGAATGAATTTTGTCACAAATAATAGACAAAAATGATTCATATTGTTCATATCTTGCTTTGACTATTTTCGGATTCCTTCCATCAAGTTCGTTGATCTTTTTCTGCATTTCTAAAACATAATTCTGATACTTCTTGTAGGATTCATTCGAAGTAAGATCCAATAACGTATTCATTACTGAGGATCGAATCATTTCAGCATCAAATTTATTGATATAATAAGCAAAATAACTGCAATCTTTGATCAACGCAATCAAGAAGTCATATACTTTATCAACTTTGTTTTCATCTTGAAAATATCCGAGTTCTTCACATTTTGAAATGATTTTATCGATGAAATCTTGATTGCTTAATATGTTTTCGGAACCAATACGACATAAATCAATAAGTTTTGATGGTTCTATTTCCGAAATATTTTTCGCTATGAATATGATAATGTCATCTAGTTTTTCATTGTAATTCTTTCGCGATTTTCTTATAAATGAAAGGACTTCTTCTATATTTTTTAAGTTTATTTCATCTCTGAAAATAAGAGTACTATACCAATCGAAAAAGTCTTCAATCTCGAGATCTATGCCTATTTGATATATTTCTTTCAGAATATCTTCAGAAATTTCGATAGAAACTTTGTTTTTTATAAAAAGTTGATAAAAGATTTTAAATGTTTCATCACTGACTCCTTTTAGTTTATATTCTTCAATGTTTTCTCCTTGCATGTAGTCATTCATAACTTTCCTGCTATATGAACACAATGTTTTAAAAGGAACTTCCATTTGATGATTTCCATCGCTGATTTTGATCTTTTTATCATCCACAATACTATTAAATTGAAATTGCTTAAATGCTCTTCTGGCAACAAATTCGGGCATCTATTAAAAATCCAAAATAAATTGAATACTTATCAATTCAAAATTTTTAGAGATTCTTTATTTTTAATAGATTTATAATCCCGAAACAATTTTAAGCGATTCATATTCCAATATATTCAAAATATTTTTCTGAGAAAAGTTCAGAAAAGTTTGTATTATATTTATAATTGCATCGCTAATAATGCAAAAATATATTTATTAAATAAGCAATTATTCTTTAAAATATAATTACTGAAATTACGATTATTTTTTATTCAAATACGAAATTGTATTGGATGAAAAATTTTGCGTAATTTATAGTTTTCTAATTAATTATTTGCGTATAATGTACATTTATTAATAAAATTTGTACTCTTAGGCCTTATTTAAGCTGATTTTTTTACTAATGTCAAAAGAAATTCATTTTGATTAGTGTCAGATTCTTGAAAGATTTGGGTCTATTTTTCCTTTGAAATTCTATTATTTCAAGAGAATTGAGATTCGAAAGATATGATTTAGCTAAATATTTATGTTATTCGTTAATTCTAAATGATTTTTTGTCTAGAATATATTATCATTATATTGGATCTTTGATGGGAAATCGCTATTGTAAGGAAACCATCAATTGTAAATGGAAATTTTAGAAAACCTCAAGATGTCTAAGCATCCTCTTTGATAAGTAAAATTCTTTGAATTTTGATATATTAATTGGATAAATCATTAGTTAAGTTAATTTTATTTCTATTTCTTTATGAAATAATAAATAAATATACTCATTAGGATGTTAAGATCAAATAAATATCTATAACAATAGGCTGGACATGTGTGTATTTCAATTGAATAATATGAAATAGTGTAACTTTTGAGTATATCCGAAATTGCAGCAGGAAGGGAAATTCCCAATGGGAAAATAAAATTTCGTAAATTATTTGAGTTAGTAAAAGCATATTGATTAATATAAGTGATTTCATTTTGAAATATTAGCGAATTTATATAAGATTGGTATGAGAAAGATTGGTCTCTAATGATTTTAACATTTTTTGGTAAATAAAATACTTTTGCAGTTCGAGCTGATGGATAATGAACTATTTCCTCGAAATTTTTTGTGTATAATACACCATCTAACGAAGTAAAATATGGATTCTGTTCATCAACAAATATATTTTCGAGCGATCTCAATGCATTGAAAGGATCCAATTCATTGATAATTTTGACGGACTTAGGTAAGAAAATTTCTTTAATAGGAGCATTGATGATTGGGTCATCTTGTATTTCAACAATTGTGTCAGAAAGAGTAACATTTGTTATAAAAGAAGAATCAATACACTGTGTTGATAAAATTCTACAACTACTGTCAATAATAATTGTTGTATACTGACTTTCAATAGCTTGTTTCTCAAGAATTCCGTCAGTACATGATAATGTTTTTACATTTATTGTAGAACTAAATGAATTTTGGAATCAATAAAAAATTTATATTTTGTCACTTTTTAAAATAAGATCTGACATTTGCTCTATTTAAAAATGAACAAATAGCATATATAGTTGTTGGATCAGGAGAATTAAGAATGTTTAATAAGCGCCAAGATGTTGTTTGATTTAAAGAATAAAAAACGAGGAATTCGAATATTTCTTCAAAGATTACAAAAAAATTGAAGATAAATTAACACTTTTCCAAACATTCTTCATTCTTTCGTTCTTTGCAAAACCTCACAGATACGGTGTCTATAGAAGTTTGAACTGAGTCAAGTCATTTTCTTTCACAATCACTTCACCGATCACTTATAAATACTTCAAATTTATATGAAGTTCATGAGAGAGTATTGAAGTATTTGCCATATAAGAAAGTTCCTCAAGACAATGTTAAAGACTCTGATAATTTCAGATCAATGCAATTGCAAGATGATAAACAATAATTTGATGATGATTGTTCCGAATCCAGAAGAATTCTTTTTTTGAATTTATTTTATTCATATAGAAATCAATTATTTTTTGCTTATGATTATTCTTTATGAATTCAGATACTCTCAAAAAAATTGAGATTCATAAATTTACGAGATGAAAACTAGTATTTTAGTATATTATAAACTTAGCAATAATAATTTACTTACAATTTGGATTAATGAATCAATATAAATATTAGTATAATTAAAGTCGTCATACAGAAGAAAATTTTTCGATATTTTGATCTTTTAAATAGCCATGAATCAATAGTTATTTTGCTGTCCTTATTTTTACTAGATTTTGATGATTTTGGTTGTTCTGTGTCGGATGTTTGTGATTGAGTTTGATTAGAAAATGTTGATTCATTTTGATTTATATCAGCAGGTATTGATTCATTTTGAATTGTTTCAACAGATGTTGATTCATTTTGAATTGTTTCAGCAGATGTTGATTCATTTTGATTTATATCAACAGGTGTTGATTCATTTTGATTTATATCAACAGATGTTGATTCATTTTGATTTATATCAGCAGGTGTTGATTCATTTTGATTTATATCAGCAGGTGTTGATTCATTTTGATTTATATCAACAGATGTTGATTCATTTTGATTTATATCAACAGATGTTGATTCATTTTGAATTTTTCAGCAGTGTTGATTCATTTTGATTTATATCAACAGATGTTGATTCATTTTGAATTTTTCAGCAGGTGTTGATTCATTTTGATTTATATCAACATATGCTGATTCGTTTTGATTAGCGTCAGATTTAGTAGATTCCTGTGCTTTATAATTGCTTGAAAAAATTGGTCAATCTTCTTTATGGTTTCTATTTCTTCAAGAGAATCGCAATTCGAAAGATACGATTTAACTAAATTTTTATGTTTTTCTTTAATTCTAACTAATTTTTTGTCGATAATGTATTTTATTATTTTGTATCTTTGATGAGAAATTGCAATTGTAAGAAAATCATCTTCAGCATTTGGATCAAAATTGTGACAATATATAAGTAAATTCTGGAAAATCTCAAGATGTCCAAGCCTTACGGATCTAAAAATAGGAAGGTCATTATTTGATGAATGTAGAGATGGGTCTGCATCATTTTGAATTAAATAATGGATTATTTCCCAATTACCAGAAGAAACAGCTAGAAGTATACAATTTTGATTTTCTTTGTCTAAGTCTGAAAGTGAAAAGCCTTGAGATACTAGATGCTTAATCATTTCAAAGTTTCCGCTTTCACAAGCTGTTAAAACGGCATTTCTCCCTGTGATTTCGTTAGATATTTTAGCATCTAAGCCATTTTTAATGAGAAAATCGAATATCTTTGTGCTGCCACTGATTGATGTGCAAAGAACTGCATTGTCTTTATTTTTGTTAATTGCTGTTTTGTTGCATTTGTTGTTGATAAGAGATTCGACAAGATTGTAATTGTTCTTCAAACATGCAGAGAGAAGGATTGTGTTTTGTTGATCATCAACGATTTCTGATAATCCGATTGTACATGCAACTTTTATTGTCGATTCATCTTTCACATCTGCTCTCTGCGAAAGGAAATTATAAATATCATCAAATTTGTTTTGAATTTGGAAGATATCTAAGAATCTATTGATCAACTCATCATTTGTTTGATTTGAATGAATTTTGTCACAAATAATAGACAAAAATGATTCATATTGTTCATATCTTGCTTTGACTATTTTCGGATTCCTTCCATCAAGTTCGTTGATCTTTTTCTGCATTTCTAAAACATAATTCTGATACTTCTTGTAGGATTCAT